GCTCAGACAGGACGGAGTTAAAGGAGCAGCTGCTTCGGGGACTCTGGCTCACTCACGCCTGGGGGAGGGAAGGGCATGGAGTGCGGGGCGAGCCTGCAGCGGCAGAGGCCGGCGTGATGTTGCACTATCCTGAGGCTCACCGTGTGTTCTCCCAGGGAAGTTGTCCCTGGATCCCAGGACCCTGGCAGTGGCAGGCTGCACAGGCTCACTGGAAGGGAGGTGTGGATAGTGACATGTGCTCACACACAGGCTTCTTGGTGGCGGCAGCAGCAGCCTTAGCGTCTCTTGCCGTCTCTGGGGTCCAAGCTTTTAGCCGAGGCTCACGCCCTTCTCTGGAGCTCCTTTAAGCAGCACTCTTAATCCCCTCTCCTCGTGCACCAGGAAACAAAGAGGGAAGAAAAAAGTCTCTTGCCTCTTCAGCAGCTCCAGACCTTTTCCTGGACTCCCTCCCGGCTAGGCGTGGTGCACTAACCCCTTCAGGCTGTGTTCACGCCGCCAGTCCTCTCCCTGTGCTCTGACGGAAGCCCGAGCCTCAGCTCCCAGCCCCACCCACCCCGGCGGGTGAGCTGACAAGCCTCTCGGGCTGGCGAGTGCCGGTCAGCACCGATCCTCTGTGCGGGAATCTCCCCGCTTTGCCTTCCGCACTCCTGTTGCTGTGCTCTCCTCCACAGCTCCAAAGCTTCCCCTCTCCGCCACCCACAGTCTCCGCCCGCGAAGGGGCTTCCTAGTGTGTGGAAACCTTTCCTCCTTCATGGCTCCCTCACACTGGTGCAGGCCCCGTCCTTATTCTTTTGTCTCTGTCTTTCCTTTTTTCTTTTGCCCTACCCAGGTACATGGGGAGTTTCTTGCCTTTTGGAAGGTCTGAGGTCTTCTGCCAGGGTTCAGTAGGTGTTCTGTAGGAGTTGTTCCACGTGTAGATGTATTTCTGGTGTATCTGTGGGGAGGAAGGTGGTCTCCGCGTCTTACTCTTCCGCCATCTTCCCCTCGTCCCCCTGTAAAACTTTTATTGCTTTTGCTACTGCTGTTGTTTTTCTCTTGATATTTTGTTTATGAAGTACTTCATTAGGAATTTGTGTCAAAAATGAAAGAGCTAATATTCCTGATTATGAGCCAAATTTGTGTAGGTATTTCTGTAGCTAGTGAATGACAATTCCCCAGGAACTATGACAAGTGTTTAAGGGAGAGGAGCATTATACACATAAGAAAATGAGACTATTAAATGGAAAATATCAGATAGACTTTAAAGTATAAAATAAATGTATTTACAGTGATCACCATTGAATATGATTGTTGTTAGTGTGCTCTAGATCTCTTAAGTTTGATTTACATATGAATCATGCAATATTAAATCTGTTTTAGCAAATCCATCTTAGCCATAATTCATTATATAGTTATTCATATCAAATTTGGAAAATGGAAAATTTTTTTTTGAATTTTATTTTATTTACTTTTTTATACAGCAGATACTTATTTGTTATCTATTTTATACATATTAGTGTATATTTAGTGGGTGAAATCTCAAGACTTTTACAATAAAGCTTCTTTCTATTTTCAGCTGCAACTCCCTCTGAAATAGAAACTTGTTGGGAAGAATTCATAGTAATTAAATTGTTTTTCCCTTAAGAACTTGTTTCCTTAAAGTTTGAGCTATTAATAATGTCAGATATCAAAATACTGTTTATAGTGTTATTTTTTCTTTCTTTTTTGCTCTGATTCATAGATTTGTAATCCCCAGAGGTTATTTACCTCATAACACTAAAAAAATTTAAAAAGTGATGAAATAACAGTGGATTAAACTTTTCCTTGGATGCCATTCACTGTTCTATAGACAGAGGCTGCTCCAGAATTAGACATTGGAGAGGCATAGGGGTGAAATCTTGTTTAGATAGAGGAACTTACCCTAGTGTGAGTTATATTGCAAATGCATTCATTTTGCTTATTCACTACCTTAGGGAGGTAAAGAAGGAATGATGATAAAAGCTCACCTTTGATACCCACTGTATATAAAGTGCCATTCCATTATTTGGTTGTCCTCTCTTATATTAAGTCCAGTACTATAACTTCTCATCATTGGGTCTAACCATTAAATTCCATTCACTAATAACTTTCACTAATTCCATTCACTAATATCCTCATAGCATATCTCACATGATCCATGGTTAAAGCACTATTGAACTACTTGCAGCTCATAGGCAAGTCCTGAGAATTCATGTCTTCTAGACTTTGCATATGATGTCTGTTCTCTCCTGACTACTGTGCTTGCCATGATTGCCTCATTGGCCCATCTTTCAAGAGTCTGCTCACAGGAATCTCACAGTTCTCTCTTCTGTCCCTTAGCAACTTATGCATATCACAGTGGTTTTTGTGTTTCCAATTATGGTTTCACTGCTAGTGTGAGACTATCGCAGATATGAAATGCCATACCTTTGTGAGACACTAAAATCCTGATACATAACCTGCACTCAGCAAATATCTGACGATCAAACAAATGAACAAACAGAATAGAATATGTGAATGAATAAGCAAATGAATGACTCCCTTAAGGGAGTTACGGCAGAGTAGCAATAGCCCAAGTCTTGTCACTTAGGAGTGATTTTACTGGGCAAATCTTTGCACAGAGGGTTTTGAATATATCTGAACCTCTGCCTTCCCCATCTGTTAAGGTAAGATTATATTTTCTACCTCTCTCTGCAGAGATTTCTTGTGGATGATACATAAAATCTTATATGTAAAAGTATAAAGTATTATGCAAATAAAGGATTTTTTTCAGTTTCAGATGTATTATGATATATCCATGAAAAAAAAAAAATCACCAGTATCACCTAATACACAGAAGGTTAAATAAGGAAAAGGATGAACAAATGCTAAGGAGCAAGAGATCAGATTGAAAGGGGAGTGAGGCCAAAATTCCTTATAGTATCCTGAGGCCAGAAAAGAAATGAAAACCCTAATCCAGGGATTCTAAACTCTGGCTTCACATTAGAATTAGCTGGATATTTCAAAAGTATTTTTGCCTGAGCCCTAATTTATCTGGTGTGAGGTAGGGCTCAGTCATTGACACTTTTTAAAGCTCCCTGGGTGATTCTAATACACAGGCAGAATGAGAGCCACTGCTGGACCACAGGAATTGATGAAAAGTTTCTAGGGAGAAAAACTGCATCATACATGAGATGTTTTAAAAAGATTAATCAGCATGAATAGATATGAGGAGAAGCTAGGGATAGGAATTGAGAGACTAAAATGTCACAGATGAAAATAACTGTTTTAAGGCCTAAACTTTTTGTTTTTTGAAAGCTAAGGAAGCTGCTGTGGAGAGATATCAAAGATATGCCTTCATAATTAACAGCGAAGTTGTTCAGACAAACTCAGGCACATTCCAAGAATTAATACTGGCAGAGCAGCATTTTACAAACTACATCTAAGTCACTCAGGTTGCAAACAGAGGCTAAATGCAATCATTTATTTCATTACCCACGAAGAGTTCCTAGAAGAGGCAGGTTTTGAACAGGCTTGAAATAATATTGTTTGTAGAGAGGACAGGCATATATATTTTTTGATGCTGAAAGGTTTCTAATATGGGTTTGCGTTTCAGAGTCATGCTTTCCTAGTCTGCCATATTGCTATGGCTTTTAAACAAACAAAGAAAAATAAATGAGATAATTAAAAATTGACATTGTTGGAATGTAATGAAAGGTATTCTGAAATTATTTTTAAATATTTTCCATTTTTCTGTGTTTAAAATTAAAAAAAGTTTTAAAAAATGTAATGTGACTATTTTAAAATACACATAAATATATAAAATGGTGGTTTTGAGATGAAAATATACTGACCTCAATTATGCCAAACTCTAAAACTCACTTGCTTTTTAATTTTTATTTATTTATTTATTTTTGCGATACGCGGGCCTCTCACTGTTGTGGCCCCTTCCGTTGCGGAGCACAGGTTCCAGACACGCAGGCTCAGTGGCCATGGCTCATGGGCCCAGCCACTCCGCGGCATGTGGGATCCCCCCGGACCGGGGCACGAACCCGCGTCCCGTGCATCGGCAGGTGGACTCCCAACCACTGCGTCACCAGGGAAGCCCCTCACTTGCTTTTTAAAATGTATTTAATAGTAATTTTCTAACAGATTGTTCTCTGGTATGGGGAAAGTAAAATTTCATTAGTGCACCAAAAATGTGGAATTCTAGTTTGAAAAATATTATCTTCCCTTCTTACATCATAAAAACTTGTGCAGACTCTGTGGTCTTATAAGAGAGGAAAGATTATATACCAATGATGAACCCCTTTGGGAGGCACTACAATATCTTTTATTAAAGTAGAAACCTGAGACACCCCAATGTGATATTTAATAAATGACCAAGCAGCCTTGAATCTAATAAGAGATTTAGGAAAGAAGGAAGCAAGGATGAAAGAAAGTGAATAATATCTTGTTTTCACATAAAACAACTCTTGTGAGGAATATGGAAAACAATCATTTTAATATTTTCATGGAGAAAGGCCAAGCCATAATTTAATATCTTATGTTTTACAGTTCGCATCCATTTCTAGGTGAATTATTTTAGTTAACCTGTATTTAAAAATATTTTGTATTTGGTACAGAAAAAAGTGAAGTAATATTTTAAGACCTTAAACTTTTAATTTTTCAGTTTTATCTACTTAAAATGTGTCATTTATAAGGGGCATGCATATGGTAGATAAGGTATGGGGCATGGTCCCAGAGAACTGGGTAATAGCCCAACTTTGGGAAAAATATATTTTTATGCCTCGTTTTCCTCATCTGTTACTGGGGATAATAATAATATCTATTATTATTTTTTATACTATATACCATTTTTTAATTTTTTTGGTAAAGGCTCAATATGAATACATGTACCTGAGGGAGACCCCTGTTAGTTCACAGGGATCTCCTTTATTAGTTGCTTAGCAAATAACCATGTATCTCAATAGATATTCTTAATGTGTAGTAGTTTATCACAATTATTTGGTAATCTCTTTCAGTGTAACTCACACAGCAAAAGTGACAATATTCCTGTCACTCCTCAGAAATGTCCCAGCTCTGTGGGTTTCCACATTCAGGAGAATGAAGAAAGCCATTATGAGGTATGCCATAACTCTATAGAGACCATGTTGGTACTGAGCAATTTGCATTTTCCTAGTGGTTTTAAATACTCTAAGTTAACTATTATAAATATTTTCTTTGATGACCCCTTTTATGGTTGTATTTTTACACTAGTACCTTTTTTAAAACAACTTTAAATAAACGATATTAGAACAAAAAGGAAGCAATCTTTTTTTTTCCTTTTTTAGTAATGGTCGAAATATGAAATATAGTGTTCTTGTCATTGAATGCAAAGTGTTGATTTTTATCAATTTTTTGGAGAAAGCAATGAGCAACTTTATTTTTAAATGTTCTTAATTCATTTTTATTAGTTGAGCTAAAAATGCCCACATCAATTTGTTGAAAGATTGATTTGCTTCATCCGCTATACTCAAGGAAGACAAAGAACACAATGCTGCTTAATAACAGGTTAAATTGGAGTTTTCATTAATCTTTTCTTTTTTACTACTTTTTCTCAGCTTGATCCTTTAGTGTCCTGTATGTTTTAATTTAAAATAAAAATCATTTTCCTTTTTTCTTAATGGGTTCATCCACTGTATAAGATCCATATTTTTTATTTATTTTTTTTTTTTGGAGGGAGAGCTATTCCAGTACCAATTATTCTAATATGGCTGGATGTAGGAATATGTTATTTTTCATTTAAAAAGAAATTGTGATTTAAAACACATAACATGAAATTTACTATTTTAATCATTTTAAGTGTAGAGTTTAATAATGCTAAGTATGTTCACATTGTGCAGTAAAAGATCCATATTATTAATGAATTGTGTTTCAATAATTGACTCTAGTATTAATACACACATATTTGTCTCACCTATTGTCCACTGTCACAACATAGATTGTAAAAAGATGATGGATAGTTGGAATATGTATATGGGTATATATGTATGTGTGTGTGCTGGTGTGCTCATGTGTTTTCCATTTTCTCTATTTTCTCATTGAAGCTAGGTTCCCCCCCCCCCATTTCCTTAAAGGTACTGAAAACGTTTTGATTATTATTAATAATTATTAATTATTATTAACAGTAAAGTGTTTTTGCCAACTAAAGGAATCTATCCTTTTCAAAGTTCCGGGTGTAATGTAGGTCAGAGAAACTACTTTGATTAATAGAAGTTTGATTGAGTAGGCAACTTCTTTTTTTGGACATACCATTAACTGAGGTGGAAAAAGCATAAAGTGACATTTGAGGCAGCTTATCCCCTAATTTTTCCTCCATGTATTTTCTTCTTATTTTTCTTTTTCTTTGTGTAGAGCTATTTAGAAACATCCTTCTATAGTCTTCTTCCTGCTTTGCTTTTATTTTCTTTATCTTTCTCTCTCCAAAATCTTAATCACTTGACAGTTGAGAGAAGAACTGTAATTTTTAACCCTTTGTTCATCATTACTATGTATGTGTCAAGTGTCTAGAACACAGGAGTGTGTGCCATTATTCACCCTTATTCCATTCAATAATAATTCAACCCTTATTCTATGGCAGAAATAAATGTTTCATTCATAAACACTCATGTAAACCTTTAAAAAGCCCATCCAGAATGACCTGAAAACCATTGAAATCCAAGTTGATTTCAAATTCCTAAGAATTATACTCATTTATATAACATTTTCATGTCTGTATCTTTTGAGTAAACAATCCATACTCCTCCCCAGAGACCTCTTGAATTACCCAAGAGGGTAGAATATGAAAATTGTTAACTGAAGATTTTCTTATTTTTTTCTAAGGAATTTAAATGAGCTGTAACTAAAATAATTTTCTATGAACCAGATATTTTTCTTCCCTAGATATTTTATAAGTCTCAAAGCATAGGAACACAGTGTGTACAGAGTTTATTAGACTAAAGTTCTAGGGAATATTGACAAGAAAAAATGATACTAAGAGTTACAATGTCAATTTATATTATGACTCCAATCATCAAAGAATACTGAAAATAAATCTGCTGTGCTATGTTCATAAACAAAGGAAAGAAAGAAAATACTTCAGAAAACTTTTATCTCATGAATTTTCATTTAACCATCATATATACTCCAGGCCAATTGTAGTCTGAGTGGTTTCAAAGTAAGTTATCTCTTAGGTCCTATATCTCTCTAGTGGTCTATGATACCATAAAATATAATGATTTAGAAAATGGACACTTTTGTAGCATGTCCTCTGTGCCAGATGTGTTTCAAGCTCCTTATGTGTGCATTGCTTTTGATAATAATATGCCTAATTTCTTAAGTACACATTTTTTTTTTAATGCAGAACAACTATCTCTGATTTTTTTAAACGTTTTTATTGGAGTATAATTGCTTTAATATGGTGTGTTAATTTCTGCTTTATAACAAAGTGAATCAGTTATACATATATACCCATATCTCTTCCTTCTTGCATCTCCCTCCCTCTCACCCTCCACATGCAACCCTTCTAGCTGGTCACAAAGCACCGAGCTGATCTCCCTGTGCTATGCGACTGCTTCCCACTAGCTGTCTATTTTACATTTGGGAGTGTTTATATGTCCATATATACGCTACCACTCTCTCACTTTGTCCCAGTTTACCTTTCCCCCTCCCCTTGTCCTCAAGTCCATTCTCTAGTAGGTCTGCGTCTTTACTCCAGTCTTGCCCCTAGGTTCTTCATGACCATTTTTTTTTTTTAGATTCTATATATATATGTGTGTTAGCATACAGTATTTGTTTTTCTCTTTCTGACTTACTTCACAATGTATGAAAGACTCTAGGTCCATCCACCACACTACAAATAACTCAATTTCGTTTCCTGTTATGGCTGAGTAATATTCCATTGAATATATGTGCCACAACTTCTTTATCCAATCATCTGTCTCTGGACACTTAGGTTGCTTCTATGTCCTGGCTATTGCAAATAGAGCTGCAATGAACATTGGGGTACATGACTCTTTTTGAATTATAGTTTTCTCAGGATATATGCCCAGGAGTGAGATTGCTGGGTCGTATGGTAGTTCTATTTTTAGTTTTTTAAGGAACCTCCATACTGTTCTCCATAGTGGCTGTAAACTTTCTCCACACCCTCTCCAACATTTATTGTTTGTAGATTTTTTGATGATGGCCATTCAGACCGGAGTGAGATGATATCGCATGGTAGTTTTGATGTGCATTTCTCTAATGATTAGTGATGTTGAGCATCCTTTCATGTGTTTGTTGGCAATCTGTATATCTTCTCTGGAGAAGTGTCTATTTAGATCTTCTGCCCATTTTTGGATTGGGTTGTTTGTTTGTTTGTTTGTTTGTTTTATTTTTTTTTTATTTTGAGCTGCATGAGCTGCTTGTAAATTTTGGAGATTAATCCTTTGTCACTTGCTTCATTTGCAAATATTTTCTCCCAATCTGAGGGTTGTCTTTTCATCTTGTTTATGGTTTCCTTTGCTGTGTAAAAGCTTTGAAGTTTCATTAGGTCCCATTTTTTAATTTTTGTTTTTATTTCCATTTCTCTAAGAGATGGGTCAAAAAGTATCTTGCTGTGATTCATGTCATAGAGTGTTCTGCCTATGATTTCCTCTAAGAATTTCATAGTGTATGGCCTTACATTGAGGTCTTTAAACCATTTTGAGGTTATTTTTGTGTATGGTGTTAGGGAGTGTTCGAATTTCATTCTTTTAAATGTAGCTGTCCAGGTTTCCCAGCACCACTTATTGAAGTGGCTGTCTTTTCTCCATTGTATATTCTTGCCTCCTTTATCAAAGATAAGGTGACCATAGGTGCATGGGTTTATCTCTGGGCTTTCTATCATCTTCCATTGATCTAACTTTCTGTTTTTGTGCCAGAACCATACTGTCTTTATTACTGTATATTTGTAGTATAGTCTGAAGTCAGGAAGCCTGATTCCTCCAGCTTCGTTTTTCCTTCTCAAGATTGCTTTGGATATTCGGGGTCATTTGTGCTTCCAAACAAATTGTGAAATTTTTTGTTCTAGCTCTGTAAAAAATGCCAGTGGTAGTTTGATAGGGATTGCATTGAATGTGTACATTGCTTTGGGTAGTATAGTAATTTTCACAAAGTTCATTCTTCCAATCCAAGAACATGGTATATCTCTCCATCTATTTGTATCAGCTTTAATTTCTTTCATCAGTGTCTTATAATTTTCTGCTTATTGGTCTTTTGTCTCCTTAGGTAGGTTTATTTCTAGGTATTTAATTCTTTTTGTTGCAATGGTAAATGGGAGTGTCTTCTTAATTTCACTTTCAGACTTTTCACCATTAGTGTATAAGAATACAAGAGACTTCTGTTGATTTCATATCCTGTTACTTTACCAAATGCATTGATTAGCTCTGTAGTTTTCTGGTAGCATCTTTAGGATTCTCTATGTATAGTATCATGTCATCTGCAAACAGTGCCAACTTTACTTCTTCTTTTCCGATTTGGTTTCCTTTTATTTCTTTTTCTTCTCTGATTGTTGTGGCTAAAACTTCCAAAACTATGTTGAATAATAGTGGTGAGAGGGACATCCTTGTCTTGTTCCTGGTCTTAGTGGAAATGGTTTCAGTTTTTCAGCATTGAGGACGATGTTGGCTGTGGGTTTGTCATATATGGCCTTTATTATGTTGAGGTAAGTTCCCTCTATGCCTCCTTTCTGGGTGGTTTTTATCATAAATGGGTGTTGAATTTTGTCGAAAGCTTTCTCTGCATCTATTGAGATGATCATATAGTTTTTCTCCTTCATTTTGTTAATATGGTGTATCACATTGATTGATTTGCATATACTGAAAATCCTTGCATTCCTGGGATAAACCCCACTTGATCATGGTGTATGATCCTGTTAATGTGCTGTTGGATTCTGTTTGCTAGTATTTTCTTGAGGATTTTTGCATCTATGTTCATCAGTGACATTTGTCTGTAGTTTTCCTTTTTTGTGATATGTTTGTCTGGTTTTGGTATCAGGGTGATGTTAGCCTCATAGAATGAGTTTGGGAGTGTTCCTCTCTCTGCTATATTTTGGAAGAGTTTGAGAAGGATAGGTATTAGCTCTTCT